GGAATCACGAGTTGAGTGCTTAGATCAGAATGGGCATGGCCTATCAGGAATGGAAAGTTCCACAAATAACTAATGCAGTAGATGCTTAAAAGCATTTGATAAAATACATCTAACCTTTGTCTTTTTCAAGGTATGAGTATTTACTTGACTACACAAAAGCTGATTCTCACATGTTTGTGAATGCTTTTTATTAATCCAATGAAGAACTCTAAATGTATGCACAAACATAAAACTATGTCTAAAAAAAATCATTAAAATCATCCAGGTACATGGGAGGCACTGAGCATTTGGGTGTGAGGTGAACAATTAACAAAAAAGTTCAAATTCAGTAAAACTGAATCAATTCCATCTCAGTGCCACCTGTATTTTGCATAATTCCTTAGTGTTTGCTTGAGTCAGACTTTATTCAATGGGATTAGATAATAAGCTCTAGTGTCTTGATGAATCAGAAGTTTTAATTCAAAGATAAATATTTAATGTAATATAATGAGATTCATAATAAGCACAAGCAAAAGAAAAGCTACTAACTGCAGAAATCAGATTTCAAAGTCAGGAGCAGATTTGCAAGTCCTGCCATGGGCTTCACCCACAATATCATAATTAAAACCTGTAATAATGTAAGATCATCTAGGAAGTATTTCAGCCTTTAGCATTGTGTACATGTAAAGCATTTATTCTTACAAACAAGCTATTTACAGTCCCACTTCAGACCTTTTTCCTTTGATGGAAACAGTAATCACTGCAGAATGAAAGATGAGCTACACTCATGGTTAGTTGCTTGTATTCCAGCAGTGGTAAAACAAATCATTAAGATCAAAGGACCAGCCATTTTAATAAACTGTACACTGTTGTTATTGTGACATATGGCTTTGTTCTGCCAGAGGGAAGGTATAAAACAGCACAAAAGAGAAATCAATTTTTTTTACTCAATGGCTCAGTGTTAACAACAAATATTATATAAGTATATATAATTCCTATATGTTATATGCATACCTATATATTAATACACAGTGGAACTCTAGTTGTATATACAAAGAGGTAGGTCAGGTCCTGACTTGCAGTTAGGACATGGCCAGACCTTATGCTGGGACACAGTGGAAAGTAAGTGCTCCCTGACTCCCCAGTTTATTCATAGGTTTCTCTGGCTTACAAAATGGTGTTGTTGTTCCATACTGAGCAGGGGACCATTTTATGATTCAAATGAAAAGTATATGGGGAAGAGCTGCCACGGAGAATAGGACACATTCAAAATTATTATTATGTAACTTGGAGAGTTTCATGTCTTTTATAAGCTTTTGGTCACAGTTCTTTTATTTCAGCTGATGAATGAGTTTGCTTTTCCTCATATCTGGGTATTCAACCAGTAAAGATGCATGTCATCTACCTTTTGAAAACAGCATTCTCTTGAAGGGGTCTCCACCAGGCTCCAAAACAAATGGCCAAAACCATTGTTCAGAGTTGTTGAAGGTTAGAAGCTCCAAGTCAGCACAAAGAGTTAGATGTAACCTCATCTGCCTTAAGTACACTCGCTAACTCATTGTTCAAAACATGTAGAGTGAATATATGCATATTTAGTAGTGATCAACTGATTTTTCAGGATCCTGGCTAAGCTGATATTCCTGGTCACCAGAAATCATTTGATTTGAATTCTGACCCAGAGAACTCAATACAGAAATTACCAAGGTAAAAAATAAATATGAAATGATCCTTTAAACATTAAACACTTCAGTGCCCTGTGATTTTCATAATTTTCACGTGTTTCTCTATGCTAGAAAATGGTGGAGTAGACTTGCACAATTTGAAGGTAAAATTATACCAGTGATATAATTCTTAATATAAAAGAAAGCTTCTGAAAATGTTTAAACAGAAACATGTATTTTTCACTTATTGCTTCATGAGGTCATGTTTAAACATTCATGAGTCATTTATCTTAAAATAAATTCTTCTTCATGGACCTGTCTGATTATTTTACCAAATATTTTTAATAAGTTTTTAATGTGTTTTCCCCTTTCTAGTATTTCTAACTACATGTTAGAACCTAATTTCTTAAAACTAATGGATGTTCCTCCTTCCATTATGATCCCTTTCTGCTGTTGCTTAGCCACTGATTATATCACCTAGACACTTTATCTTCTCTTTTATGAAAAATGTTGTTATAGCCTGAAACAATTCCACCATAAAGATAAAGTACTAAGTATTTTGTGCAGGTGAATAGCTCTTCCATTTCCCATACCATTATCAGATTGGCCTATTCCTATAGGACTGCAGCATTTCTACAGTCAGGATATAATCAACATCTCTTTCTCATTCTCTGAATATTGCTGATAAAAGAATGAATCTTATTCCTTCACGCTTAGCTAGGCAAAACGGTGCTATTTATTTAACTGTTTCAGGAATCTCTGAACCATACAGATAAACTGGCTTTTGGATGAGCAGGGTTTATTCCACTGTATCAAGGGATGTGAGGCACCACTTAATTTGGAGCATTAATTACTTAGATACATTATATTGTGGTGATATGTACAGAAACATAAATTATGAGAAGACTTGGCTTGATTGACAGAAATAACTAGATTATATAAAGAAAAAATATGCATTTTGAGTACTGAGTCTTGAATATTACTTGCCAATCCAATTCCTCCCAAAATACAAATAAATTGAATGCTTCCAATCAAAGAAGTACTTTAATTAATAACCACAGGCCCCTTTTTATTTTTTTTTCAAATTTAAAAAAGCAACCTGTTGGTATATAAGTAGTGAAAGTACTAAAGTACTTAACACTCTACAGCTGTGCTCCTGGAATGCAAAAAGCATTACAAACAACAGATTTTACTTCATTCAACTATTCTTTCATTTGATTCAAATATATTAATCCTGAGACCCAGTGAAAACCACTCCATTTTCCTTGGTTTGGATTGAAATCAGCCAGTTCCACCTATCTGAGATATTTGATGGGTATAAAACTTCAGGTAAGAGCACTGCCATCTGTGTGGTCTTATATTTTAATCTTACTAAAGACATGCCACACAATGCAACTGATTGCACTCTGGCTCTAAACAGCCCTTAGGTTAAGCAAGTCCTTCTTTTCACCTCTGGCTGATCTTAATCTGGAATAGAAATCCTGCTCCATTATTTGAAGCACAACTGGACTCAATGGAGCAGTTATGGATCTGTGCCACATTTCAGATTTTTACTGATATTTTTATACTTTTTTAATTGCATATATGAAAGATTTGTTTTGTAGGTCATATGTGCTCATACATCTTAAGGCTGCCACTCAACACTATAAAGTCCAATACAGAACTTGTAGATCATTTTTGTGAAGGTCTGCTCCTCTTAATTTCTTTCCTTCTTTTGAAAAATTTTAAGTTCTCATTTCCAATTTGCGGGATTCAAAATGTGCAAGTATAAAGAAAAGGTCCTTACGTGAAGTTTTGATCAGAAAGCACTGACTATGTTGAATCAACTTGTCCATGGGAATATATTTACAGTGTCATAACTTGAGAACTTGTACAGGTCAAATACATGCCAGAAAGGTGACATTTCCCAAGGGAAAGAACTTCTGACTTTTGTTCAGCCCTAGTCCATAGCTCATACAGCCTTAGTTGTGCTGATTAGCATCAATAGGCATTTTCTGCAGCACAATAGAACAGAATGATGCTGATGATTTCATTTAAAAAATAACTGACTATTATTTTTTTTTTACTGATTGAAATATATTGAGAGAAGAATTCTGATTTGGGGTTAATATTTCTGTATAGGAAGGACCGTGCCACTTAACTATTAACTAAAAAATACACCTTAAGTGATAAAATAAAAAATTCTGTGCGAATAAACCAGGCCATTTTATTCCTTTCCCTTTTTTGAAGTATATTAATCTCTGAATTATTGCTAATAATTACTAAATTCCTAGATAGTTACTGGGGAATTATCAGCTCGCAATAAAATATTGATTTTCTCGGACTTATTGACTAAGTTTGACCATCAAATTCTTACAGAAATTGTATCAGGATAACATTTTCCTTATTATTCTTTGAGAAGACATCTCATTACCATGCAAATGGAAGTGCCTTTGAGCAGACTAATTGGTATATGCGACATATAAAGGCTGAAGTCACTCCACAATTTATACAGAAAGTATAACTGAAATTTGACTGCAAATACCATTGTTTTCTTGAGATTTGGTATTTACACATAGCAAAGTGGGAGGTGGATATCTATTACATATGCAAAGATTAGAAAGAAGAGTTGTGTAAGATACTATGCCTCACCACCAGAGAAAGAACATTTAAGGAAATGCATTTGGTAATTAGATTAATAATACACAATTAATTTGATAGAAGCAGGCAGCCTATTTGAAAGCAACAGAAGTAAATAATGTAATCAAAGCATATTTGGTCCAATTCCCTGCATTTGTTTATTTATTTAAAGGCATGTTTTGTACACACATTATCACTACCTTTTAATATTTATTTTAGAAGAGAGTGCAATAGTCAACAGGCCAGAACACTGAAAAAGACCATGTGTTTACTTCTAAGAATAGACATGGTCTGTAAGCAGTTTAGGCAGCTTCAAATTCAGTTTCGGACACAACTTCTCAGGAACACTGTTCTGTAGGATGGGATACAAAGAGACTACCAAGTGTATCAGAAAGGATGCTACCAGCATCTGTGACACAGTCTTCAAGTTGATAAACTCGAACACATAGACACAGAAAAATCCACTCCAACATGTAGTTTTAGCATGTGAATACAAACGTGAACCTTAACACACAAATCAGCCAAACTGCCAAGAACTGTGCCTTTCTTTATCATGAAGCTAATCTAAACTCACTGTCACTCTCAAAAGCAGGTCAAGCTAGACTAATCTTTCTGATGTGCAGTCATTCTTCTTAAGTGCCTAAACATGGAGCTTCTGCAGCCAGCCACAAGGCAGTCATTGATTTCATACTGTGAAAACACTTTCTAAAGACAACTCTGTAATCAAATGTGGTTATTTACCTGTCATAGTCTTGGCAAATCTCCCCAACAGCTACCAATGCTTTCAAATACTCATTGGGTTGATAGGGGTGGATGTAGTGCAGTGAGCAGCTGTTCCTAGGATCACCATTTGATGCAGTGAAATCTATAGCTACCTGGAAAAGAAGAAAAGTCAATGTCTTGCACAGCTCTTCTGAGCATATCCACATCAACCACATATCTTCACCAGAAACAGTTTGCTGTAGAGTCTGCAGCCTTAAAGCAAAGGTCATTTTACAGTGTACTTAATCAAATTTGTAGTAGGATAGTACTGATAAATATATTTAGAAGCAAATGACAGTTTATAAAATAAGAGCTAATAAAACTAAAATGGCACAATTAGAAAAAAGATTGCCTGCATTGCTATTCTATGAGGGAAAACATTTTCTAATACAAATGAATCAAATTAACTATCTCTAGGTTCTCATATTAATTAAATTATTCCAGCTAAGGTGATGTTCAGTACATAAAAGCTTAGCAGCAAAAACATCCCTGGAGAGTTAAGGGTCCTAGTAAAACTATAAATTAAAACTAAAATTAGGGGCATTTCTTAGCTTTTTAATCCTTACTGTGGCTGTAGTAGTAGATATTGCCTGTCTGGTATTTTTTTGTCTTCAAAATGTCTAAGCATTAAATAATTAACCCTCCCAATTTCACAGTTGATAGCAAGCTTAAATGTAAGCTGCAGTGTAAAAACAAAGCTTGAATCCTACACAGTTTTTTTTTTGTTGTATGAAAAAGCTTAGAGAACATTGTGGGAAGCAGTCACGGCAAAAGCAAATATTAATGAATCCTCTTAAAATTAATTTCTCCCTTTTAAAATGCTCTTTATACTTCTCACTGAAGATGTACTCTGGCATGCATTTTCCTCTGATATGACCGTCATGGATCAGAAAGTCCTCTGCTGATATTTTAATGCTGCTTTATAGGAATTCCTAAAAGGAGTTGTTTAGGAATTCCTAAACAAGAATCCTAAAGTGTTTCATAGAGGGAAAAAATTTACAAAATTTCAAAATTTCCTTGTGATTTTTGCCAATAGCCTGTTCCTCTAAAAAACCCATTGCACCTGAATATTCAATAAACAAAGGCACAGAGTTCAGTTTTCAGTTTTACAGTGTAGCTGAAAGGTAAGAAAGGGTCTTGCTGAAGCCTGCAAAAAGAACTCTGAAGGCCCAGCTTGCCTTTGCAAATGTGCAGCTTCCCCAGCTGCAACCTCTGCTTGGCACAGGGAACACTATTTTATGCAGCTCTAAAATGAAAATGAAATTATATTTTCATGCTGCCTCCAAAAAATTACACAGTCCTCCTGAAACTTATTTTTTGTAGCTAAAAAGTAAAAGGGAAATATCATAGTAGGTCAACAAAACATGGTTTTCCCTCACTGTTCCTGATATTCCACCTCTATCTCTGAAGAAACTGGCCTCTAATTAGTTTGGAAATCCCTTTATTGCCTTGATCAACTATGAACTCCCAGCACCTCACCACATTCAGTCAGGAGAGATGAGCTTTTCGGCGTGCAAATAAAGTAACCCTTCACCACTGCTTCCTACTCACTATTCAGTCACCGAGGCACTGAGTTTGTTTTCCATAGAGATTTTTTTCCAAAATTATAGCTTGATTTAACTTGAATAAATCAATGGGAAACCTCTCACGCCTGCACTTGTGAGTGTACGTAACTAAGAAACACTACATGTACGTATCCAAGAAAGAGATACTACTGGTTCGTGAAACCTAAGGTAAATCCAGGGATGCTTCTATGGACTAGCTTAGTTTTGGGATACTTATTTGTTAAAAATCTTACTAAAAGTATGCACATTTTCTTAAAAATATGTATATTTTTTCTAATACTAATTCAACCTTAAATTTGATCATAGAAGGTGCAAAAATGTCACTGTATGATAGAGAAACAAAGGGTATTCCTGTAAAGTTGTTTAAAGTATGTGTTTTTACTGATAATCTCAAAAAGCTAAAGCACTTTAGCAAGACTTGAGTGATACAGCAAACAAAACCGGACAAGTCTTCCTTCATGGCTGTTAGCCATGGCTAAATGCTTTGGAAATGAAAACAAGAGCACAGTGTAGGAATCAGGAGTGGGTTTCATGAGCTTGGAAAAAAGCTTGTGGCTGGTGTTTGGGAAAGAAAAAACACTGCCTAGAACAAGCTTCCTTTTGGAAATGGTCATTGCAGTAGAGGTCTGTTGATAAGTAAAAAAAATTCCTAATTTCCTGTGATGAAGCATTTATGAATGTTTGTACTTGGATGCAGTGTGCTTGAATTTGATCCAACTCTCTGTTTGACTCCCAAGGGGAGGACTTATAAGAAAGATGAACGCTGCTGTAACTTGCCATAGTTCCAAAATAACAATGCAGAGCTCTGCTCTTTTAGCATTATCCAACAGTACCAAGGTCTTGTGTAAATACACAGGATAAGGATTTGTAAAAGTAAGTGCCCATATCACAGAAGTTATGTTAATCTTACAACTGAATTTATCTTTTGGGCAGCAAAGTAGGAATCTTTCTTACAGTGTGTACATTTGGTTTTTATCAGTGTATCTTTAATGTATCAGTTCCAATGTATCAGTCATCTTCCACAGCTAAATAAGAGCATAACTGGGGGGGGTTTCCCTCAGCCTTGTAAAAAGGTGATTTTCATTACACTGAAAACATCCCACATAGCTGGGACCTCCTGCTAGATCTGTCCGCAACAAATCAGCCTGCCCAGTACCTTGACCTGCCTGATAGAGCATCTGTCCAATCTATCTTTCTATTACAGTTCCTTTTATGCATGTTACACATCCTTTCTGCTGTATTTCCCAAAGTGATGAAAATGTCTTCTGACTACAGACCCATTTGCACTGCCAGCTTCTGAACATTTCTTCTGCAGCGGGGAACACTGTCTGATAAGAGATACAACGTTTGGCAATAACTAGGGCATAAAAATAGAGGACTGGAATCAGCACTATTGATCTCTACAGATAAAAGCTTCTTAATAACTGGTTTTAAAGCAAACGAAAAGTTTACTTTCGTTTTTCAGAGACATTCTAGCTAACTACAAACCATGTTCCTACAATAGATGTACAAAGTATCTGAAGAACAGCATGATGTTACCAAAGCTTTCATTATTGCCTTAAATTAGGAGGTACATCCTACTATAGCTTTTTATTATCAAATGTGTGCTTAGCATCCCAGTTTCCCTCCCTCAACAAGTGCCCTTTCAAATCACAGTTGTATCATACTGCCTGTACACAGCATGAGCTCAACAGAAATGTCATTAAGACAATGACAACAACAATACATGTACCAGGAGAGTTTCAAACAATCCCAGATGCATTCTTGTTAAAACAAAACAATAGAAATCTGGGAAAGTAAAAGGAATAGGCCTCCTCTATTTCAGTGGTCTGAATTAATCAGATTAGGGCTATGTGAAAAGGAGATTATATGATGTGTGCAGAAAGCAAGGGAGCATGGAATATCTCCCCTGTAGGCTGCACCCTTTTGCTTCAGTGGCCACGGGAGAGCCTCTGATACATTTCTGGAAACAGCAACAGATCTCATAACCAGTCATTTTTGACTGGTGCAATCATGTTGAGGAGGAAGGAAAATATGCAGAGTCAGTTTGTGATGATCTTTAGGTAGAACCACTTGGTTATGCATGTAGAGATCTATAGGCACAGAGATGTCACAATGGCTTCCCCTGAGTCTGTATAAGTTGAAAATTGATAGCGGTGAGTTTACACAAGACAGTAGCTGGTGGATTTACCACTGAGGGCAACAGTAATTCAGGGATCTCTGTGGTTCACAGTATAATGAATCTTTCATGTTTCCTTTATGCCCTCACAACCCACCTTTGTAGATGAGTTTACCTAAGCTTCCTATTACCAATTGTTTTGTTTCATTTCAGTAAAGTGAAATACAGTAAAATATAGTAGAAGCAATACTATCCACTTTAACCCATTTATGCCACCACTTTTAAACTCGTGGTTCACAGCCTACTAATAGGAAACCTGTGACAAGCAAATAAAAGGCAAGCAAATTGCCACAACCCTCCAGTGCACTGTGTAAGAACTTGCTCTTCCATTGGAAAACATTTAGAAGGAATCAAGAAGAGTTTGAAAAGCACAGTTGTAACTTAATATGTAAATCCCTAGACACTTTCTAATGGTTGAAGTGCTCCTGGCTTGAGCTAGAATTGTAGGAAATGCATATTATATCTTTGCATGTGCCTAAGTACATGTTCTGATTAGAAAAGGCTTTCAGATATTACTTGAAGACATAAATGTCTTTCTGCTAATGACCTTGAACGCAATTGATGATTGAGTTCTTCCAGTCATATTTTTAGGGAGGAAATGCCAGGAAAGACAAATTAAAGAGGTTTCCAGGGACTGGCAAGTTTCACATTTGGAGGAGAAATGTGCATTGCAGGCATGTGGGGATAAAAGAAGTCGCTGGGTAAGGCAGGGAGGTAATGACACAGGATGCTTTACTTGAAAGAAGACAACTAGAAAGATCTTTGAGCACTACAGTAGGTATTTCCTTCAAAACCAGAGACAAGGTCCTCAGTTCTGGGTGTTATCCAATGAGTCTGTGATATGTACAGGCAAAATGCATGTTTTACACCTCAAAAAGCTGACCTGTAAGCAAGAAGACAATCCACTACAATACCTGCTGCTGTTGCTGGAACTTTCTGTTGGGAAAAAATAAAAAAAAGAATTCTTTTTTTTTTTCCAAATTTTTTTGGAAAATGAAGACTTGTCTGGAAAAAGTGAAATAGAACATTTTAGGAGCATCCAATGTCTGATATTTGATATGTGGGAGCAAGTATGAGACAGATACTTGCAAGGCAGAGTGCTACAGGAAAATGAAAGATCTCCGGAAGAAGAATATAACCTTGCTGCAATAGACTTTAGCACTGTAGCTGATATGGATTAGAAGTCACATAAACCAGACTGCAACTCAGCCACAATCTGTATTCCTATGCTGTGGGAAAGACTGATATATTATATTAATTATATTTGCTATATTCAAAATTAAAAAATAATTCCAAAATCAAACCACACAGCATTAAATGTTTCTCAAAATTATTAATTGGAAATGCAAAATATTATATTTCTGTTTATGAAGAGCTCTGCAAATAATTTTATCCTGTTTCTTGAACTCAACAGCTTCTGATTTGCTCTGAATTACTACTGTGTCCCCCTGTAGTGCCATCTTACTGTTGGTAGCTATGGCTGAGGTATGAAGCACCAGGATTTACCCCAGGCTGACAGAGAGAGGACCCTGGCTGGACTGTCTCTCTGCGTGTATGGCATCATGTGAGGGAAAGCAATTTGCTTTAATGGAGGACTAATTCTGAAAAGGAAGACTGGCCCTTAACATATTCTGCAAGAAGACCTTAATAACTTACTAAGGACTCCGTGAAAGTAATGAAGTGGTATCTATGGGGATTCCGTTTCTTTAAAAGAAATTAGAGAAGTAAGACACTTACTGTGAACTGTATTTGGCAGCCTCCCATGATATAATCTAAGAAAGAATGCATCTTGTGGATCTGCAGACAAGAAAGCAAGACATTCAACTTAGCTGTGTACTGATAAAACATCAGAAAGCTGCCTGAAAAAACAATAAATTGGAAGGATGAGGGGGACCACCTGAAAAATAAGTTAAAGGAAGAAATCATTAGACATAGTTTGAGACAGAAACAAAAATATAAACAAGAGAAAATATTAAAATTCTAAAAAAAGGAAAATTTGCATAAAAAGTAGAACCAAGCTCTTCTTTTCAGTAGGAATTCAGTGGAAATTCTGCTGTTGATTTAGAAGGAACAAGAGCAATTTTGTAGAAATGATAGAAGGACTAAAAGGGAAACACACAAAGTTGGCAAGTCTTTAGGGGTAAGAGTTTAGTACTGCCTTCTCCATTGCACAACAGCAGGGATAGGACAAGAGAAATAAAACAGGAGAGCTGGGGACAGTCAGCTTACTTTTGAGATTCAAGTCCTTGTTTTTACTTTTTGTAGAGGATCAGTTTCCATTGTTATCCTACAGGCATTTCCACTTTGTTTTCTTGTTTCCAACCACCATTAAAGTATATCATTGAGAGCTTAGTACAGAAACAGCCAAAGAGTAAAACATATATTTACCTTGCACTGGTTAAGGATGACAATGCCTGAGTTCTTGTAATTCTTCTTCTTTGCTTTGTACTTGGGGTTAATGCATTCCCATTGTACCTGTGAAAAATAGCAGTCACTCTTTGAAGGAAAATTTATGTACAAATTGAAGTAATTAACAAAAATTGCACTGTCTGATTTCCACAGTTGACTAAATCATAACAAATAATGGTACACAGAGAGGAAGAAATGAAAACTATTAACTATGCAGAGGATGATCTTAATAGAAAAACGCCCAGGGCAAATATCAGTCTTTGCGCATATACAGGTAGACACGGCACTAAAAAAGATACACAGATTCATTTGTTGTCATCTTCCAGTCTTGTAGGTTCAGGTGTTACATAAGCAAGATTGATGATCTTTTGAGATCATTTAAGAGGAGAAAAAAAGAGGAAACTTAACACTTAAGTGAAAATACTGGAGGGAGCAACCTAATGCATTGTATTAGCTACAAAACTGCTGGCACAGTAACACTGGGGTTTTGTATTAAACTCAAGACTGGAGAAATTCAGATCAATGGTTTGTCTCGCTTTTTCTTGCAAGAGAGCAACAGTTTCTTCTATAAGTCTGACAGCAAAATAAAAAGTTAAGAAAACCACTAAAAATTGCACAAAGATGTAGATAACTAACTACTGATACATTTGAAAATTATTCCTAAGAATATAATAAAATCCCTTTCTGAAAATTTTCTCATGGTTTTATTTACAAATAGTCAGTTTTACAGCAAAAGAGTCCTACCTTGTTACTGAAATACATGGTCTTGCTCTCATCATGACATCTCTCAGGTTCATAATAATTTCCATTTCAAATGTTCTGCCTTCCTCTGGTTTCAGGTAGATTGATTAGGTTCAAGCTTTCAGACCCTCACCTCTAGTATCTACAATATTATTCACGCCTCCTACTGCAGGAGTAAAATGTACATTTGCACATGCAAGTATCCATTGGCATTTGTACATACAGATTTTTATCTGTAAAGTGTTTCTAAATATGGTTAATAGCATGACTATTTTTTTCAGAGAGGTGTTTTTAAATGTGGGGAGAAAACATGATGCTGGGTAACATAAAGAACAGAACTCCAAAAGGAACCAGGATGACCTATTATCTAAAAATCCCTATTATGACATTTTGAAATGAAAGATATATATGTCTTAAGTGTTACAATGTTTTTCCTATAGTGAAAACCTTCTTAAGTGTTACAATACCTTGTCTATAATGAAGTTCATGTGATATATCTTACCAAAGTGTTTGAGCATGTAAAACTATTTTTACCTTATGAACAACCACAGCTATTTCACTGAGCTTCAAACCATTGCCTAACAGTAATTATTTGGATATCTAAGTATTTCAGACTTAGAGATTTTGTCAAACACCAAAAAAGGAAAGGTAAAATATATGGCTTTGCAGCAATATGAGACCATTTCTGCACAGGGGAGGAGGAGTATTTTCGTCACTGTGAACTGGAGACAGGTGACAGAGTGAAGAATGGGAAAAGACAAACTGTTCCAACTGCAGGAAGCACATCTGCTTGCTCTCCCAGCTCAGTTATTTGCTTTGTGAAACAAATTTTCCAACTGAGAAGACAGGCAGACACAGGGCCCCCATATTCAGGAAAAATCCTCCATAAATACTTTTCCTCTACTCAAGAGAAGCAGTCAGGCTTAAGAAATAAAAGCCCTTCTCTCCAAAGAAAGAGAGTACTCTGTGACACAGCACCAGAGTGCAATAAGCTCATATTTAGGAAAGCAATCTGACAGCAAGGCAGAAGCATTGCCCACTTGCATCTTGATATGTTGCTGTCTGGCAAAATGGTTTAACACACATTTGTCTGCTGGAAGCATTCCTATAGAGAAATTGCGCTGTCTGTAAATTATAAATAAACTGTAATATATCAAATAGAAAATAAAAGCAGGAGATGGGATTTGTGTTTCTCCCTTTGACACTGAAATACACTGGAGAGATCTTGTTGCTTTCCCCTGAAGATCCAAGGTGCACCTCCTTAATTTTAGCATCCTCCAACATGAATACTTGTTTAAACAAGGCCTGACTTATATGAAGCCATATACTATGCACATAATTTCTCTCATTGGGAAAAGGATTATTTAAGCCTGAAAAACATTATGTTCATGGTATGGGTATATGGACAAAGTTTACAATATGTAAGGACTAAAGTGGCACAAAACATTACTTCAGGGGAGAAAAAATCTGTGCCTGTGTCCAGCCTCTCAGGTTCCCTTTGCTAACTGTAAAATGCAATTATGAATGTTCCCCTATCTTGCAATGCATTTTGAGACATATAGATAACAATTCTGAGCAACTATCTAAAGCTCATTAAAATATTCTATGTGGAAGTCACTAACATCATTGACTGATAATAAAGCAAAGGGAAGAACATACTGGAAAATTTATAGAAAGTAGGAAAACAGAAAGAAAGAACAATTTTGCATCTATTAAATCTGTTGATGATCGTAAAAAGAAGGGAAAATAATAGGAGAGGAGGGAGAAGACATTTCCCCGTTCATAGGCTTAAGAAAGCCAATAAGACTGTATTACATAGAACTCAATCCTCACTTACCCACCAAGATCCAATTCTGACCTTGGTAATTCCCACAGTTCAAGCTAAAGATGTCACAAGCATCATTTGAAGGAAATTCCCTATACAGGTCTTATTATATCTCCAGCTTTTCTAATGAGAACAGAGCTCAGAATACAGCTCTAAGCAGGTAAGTAATATCGAGAAACAATTCTCAAATGTTTTGTTTGCACTGTGGGGCCAACCTCAATTTCCAGTCTGTTCCTACATTCCCAGTATTGATTTGGTATCTGACATTGTTTTTTATTGATTCATTTTTGCTCTTAAATTAAGTTTTCAGTTGAAAGGAAACTAATGCAAGAGTCTGCAATCTGACACTAATGGCAAACATTGTGAAGTTTGGATTCGTCATTCTAAAAGTCACTTAGCATTTCCTCCAAATGCCTGACAGCTCTAGGCTATGCAAGCTCTTTCCCTGTCAAACACAGTGAATCTGAAACAGAAAGCAACCTGGTTTTGACCTATTTCTTGTTAATTTAAGTAATGGTGCAAATGTTGGTAATGAAATCCCAAGACTATACTGTGTTGGTGTTTCTTTTATACCCTGAAAGTTAAACCACTATGGGGAGAATTTCTGAATATAAACCAAACTCCATTCAGCTATTCTTCAGAGTCAGTAAACTAATGCTGATACCTGGAAGGTCCTAATCCTCTTGTGGCTGTGATGATGAGACACAGATCCCTCAATGGGAGATGTTACTCTCTGCAGTGAAGGATGCTGCCTTTCTAAACATCCTTACTCCTTCTCTTACCAAACATTCAGAAGAGAAAAAAAAGCAAACAGTGCAAGCACCCATGCCACACACCAGCAAAGGGAAGTGGAGGTGACTAAATGAAGGCAAAAAAATCCCCAAAATTTGGCCACTATGTGTCCATCAATAGCACAAACTACTCAGAGAAAGAACTGAGAGTTTCAGGAGAATTTCACGTACCCTAAGGCAAGAAAAATGACAGAGAACAGTTGCTTTTTCTGGGACACTGTGCCTGTACTGCACACTTGGACACTGGGTAGTCAGTCCTATGAGGAAAGGGCTAGAAAGCTGTGGTAAAGCTTGGGTTAGCATTGGCATGCTCTCTTTGCTTCCCTGCAATTCTTTTGTTTCTCTCTTATTCCTTCCTGTATAACTGCTGCAACAAATTGCATAGTTTAAAAATGACAAAGAAGGAACCACAGTCTAATGGACAGGGTAAAAAACCCCAATTGAAGGGAGGTAGCATTATATCTCTTTCTGATGCCTCAAGAAAAACAAGTCACTTTTAAGTGAACTGCATCACTTCCTGCCTGAAAGGCTAGTTCATTCCTGCCATCCCTCTAGGCAAGAGGAAAGGGTGGGTTTTCTTCCCTCTTTCTGTCCCAGAAATACATCCACCATGGGACAAGAGCTGCTTTTAATCACTATCAGAGGTCTCCTCCGGAAACTTGCCTCTGGGGAATGAAGTGCAACCATTGGTTGCCTCATCACAGGGATTTGGCAGGTGCCTGACATGGCTGCACCCTTCACTGAAGCCTCTGCTGCCCTGTCTGGGGCCAGCAGCAGCTGCTGATATTGCAGACAGCCCTGGGTGAACTTGGCTGTCTCCTGATAAAACTAGGCATGGAATTGTCTGTTGGTGTCAATAAACTCCTCGACCCGTTACCAAAGGCTTAAAGGTCTCACAGTTCTCTGAAGAGCTACCTGATGCAAAGGCTCTGAGTGAGGGTCATAGACAGTTACCTGGGCAAAGGGGGGAATCCAGTCCAGATCCCTTTGAGACACCATCCAATCTTGTGCACTTCAGCAGCTCTCCCCACCTCCCTAATAACACCCTGAACTTGTGGGAATGTCAATGGATATGGTAAGTACAGCAGAGTTTCTTCCTCCTCCTTCCTTCTGTGTGTGTGCATATGGACACGTGTCCCTTTTTTATGTAATGCAGGAACAGATTTTTCCCTTACATAACTCCCATGCTACATGGGAATCCAGGTGATTTCCGTCTTTCCCCCTGCACCCCTGGCCAAATCGCTCTGGCTTTATTGCTTCCATTAAAAAAAAAAAAAAGGTGACCTTTTTTTTCTCCTTTCAACTATGATAAGCTTTAATAGTATTTACATTTTTATAATCTCAATCTTTTTCTCTTCTTGTTCAAATATTTTTGATAGATTAATATTAGAACACCTTACAAAACTGTCACTGTACATACATATTAAAATATATATATTATACATATATTTGGAAAAAATCCTAAGACACAATAAACTCAAAGTATTTATTAGTACTTCATTTAAAAAATGTCACAGATAGGGATGGACTTACTGGGCTTTCTTGTGTTAAGATTATGGTGAAGGAGCAAATAATGAATTTTGGAATGGTAGAAAGTGTAAACAGAAGGTTTAGAAATCATAGAATCATCAGGGTTGGAAAAGACTAGCACCACTAAGTTCACCACTAAACCCTCGTTTATGCAATGACTACTTCAGATGTGCCCTTGAACAAAAGGATGTCTTTGGCCAATTGTTATGGTAGTCAGTATGAAAATAGGCTAGGTGTCAGAACATAACAGTCTGTGACCAAAAGGTAATTTTTATGGAAGGGAAACACACACCAAGTTATTATCCTGAGCTTGTCCATGATCAGGAAGTCTTCTTAAAACAGTGTGAACAGATTTCATCTGTCCCACCAATGAAAGACCAGCAAGGTTTCCCAGAATTCAGGCCTTTCAGTCATGGAGAAGCAACTGACACTATGAAGGACTCATAATTCAAGATTTGTGAATCTTATCCAAACCCTACCATATTTAGAAGAGAAGTTCATAAACTACTTATGCCAGCCCTGATCAAAAGATGCAGCTGGCAGTTTTATTCCTCTGACTGAAAGGAGTACTACCCGAAAAGCAATATTTTCTGGTCTCAGGCTATGAAAAGGTCTCTTCTAGGAACAAAGAACTATGTCTAACCTACCAATTTCCTCACCCATGTATAATTACATTTCTCTTATGTGGCCTTCCTTATCAGAAATACCTAGCAACACATCCACTTGAAGGGAAAAGACCTTCCTTCTCCTCTGTCATTCCCTCAAGGTTTACCATAACCCCTTTATTCAAAGCAAACACTCCATTGCACATGCTTTTTCTTTATGGAGACTAAAACTAAAGAAAAGAACCGACAAATGCTAATCACATTACTTAATGTTGCAGTAAGGTTGTTGACATATACTATGTATGAAGATGTTTTTATGGGGTGCACAGATAATGGCATATATTGCCTTTAGCAGCAATAGTTCTTTCTGTAGAACAGAGAAAAATGAGATAGGATGAGGGAGGGACAGAGAGATAGAGAAAGGACAGGGAAATTTTTTTCTGGATCCAGCCAAGTGACACGGCTTCCAACATGAATGACCTCTCCTGTAAAACACATGATCACTATATTTTTTCGGTAACATGTCATTTTCACCAGAATCTCCTCAAATTTCCTACTGCTAGTTCTTGCCTATCGTGCTTTTAGTGCTCATCAAAGTCTGCTTTCATCAAGTGCAAGAGCCATCTAGCATGGGCATATATATTTTTGGGCCACTATTTATCAGCCACTTAAATGACTAATACTTACTATCTTATCCACTAAATCTTGGTTTTATCTAGAATAGTCTATAAAACAAGGATTAGAAAAGAGAAGAAGGGAAACTGATACTCACATTGGTGGTAATTGTGTCCCATGAGAACTAGCTATAACAACAGCACAAGGTTTTGCAGGTGCAAGGGCACAGAATAACTGCACGGTAACAACAGAATGAGAGGAACAAGGGAGAAATAATGGCACACCACCTTAGATGTGTGGAGGAAGACTGCAGAGCTGCAGGTAAAAGGCAACCTGCCAAATGGCAAATGGCAGGCCCTTAGCAAGACAAAGGTCCAAGAACTTAAAGCATAGTGTAACATTAAAACATTCCTGGGCAGCACTGCAGTGTCAACCTAGAACAAGAATTGACAAATGGCTGTACTAACTTCTTAGGCCTCTGAAAGAGTAATCATCCTTTTTGCTGTCTAGGGATGAAAACAACCCACTTTCTCCATCATATTAAAGAATATATAGTTCATCCTTTGGAGCCAGTGCTGGCACTCTGGACTACAAGTCTTCTGTCTTGGCCAACAAGTTGTCTCTTTGGGAAGGACCATCATGGTTTTTTGAAGACATTTACATTGAAAATACACGCCCTTTACCACTCTCACACAGTCTCTTCCTCAGCCATTGGTATTTCTATACAAAATCAGAGTGTTGTCACATCACTGGCATTGTTAATGTTATTCATTCTGGGATCTGTTTACCTCTTTATCTCCATTCAAATTCTCTTCGGTTAAAGTTTTGATCCTCTGACTTAATTTGAGAGAGCAAAACAGAGTTTCATTTGCACTCAGGTTCTGTTCAGAAGTTATTTATAATGGAATAATATATTACTCATATGTATCAACAGTATTTTACACACATGAGCAACATTTGCCAAACTTTAGTGTGTTTTAAGAACTTCAAAAGAAAACATTGAAAAGAATGTTTCTTGACATTTCTTCCCAATAAAAGTTTATTGACCTATGGTATAGCCTGACTGCTTAGCATTTATCAAACACCTTTTGACTCTGTGTTAGGTTTCTATTAACACATAAACAGAACCTTAATTTAAAGCCCAAATAAAGCTTATTAGGCATTTGTGTCAGGTTTTGAGATCACTATGGAACAGTGAATACAAATTATCAGTAGATTCAATGTTTATAACTCCCCCTCAGAGAATTTATCAAAACTAACACCTTTAGAAGTAAGTAATAATAGAAAGTGACAATTTCTGAAATTAGATATGCCAAATCATTTATCATATTCAATAATTACCATCGACTTCAGTTTCAAAAGATCAAGCTGACATAAAGAAGTGAAATTATTAATAAGCTAACAATTTCATTTTCCCTTAGGACTGTAAATCATGAAATATTTAGGAAACCAATTAGTTTCAACATGATGGGTTTAAGTTAAAGCTGGCAGAAATGAAGGTAGTACATGAGAAATGGAGAAAGATGAAGCATGATCCTCATCCAATAAAGGTCTTTGGGCCAGTAGAGAAATTCTTTGACTATCCAGACTGTTTTACCACAGCAGCAGAGCCCCTCATAGAAACAATGTGCTTGGGCTCGAAGGAAATAAATCTTAGTGGAAAGAAATGCCTATAGAATGGGGACTAGAAAAAGACCCTAAGTATTTCAGGCATGAAAATAAATACAGGAAAGACTGCTTTTTTGCATTTTCAGATTATCCAGGTAACAGTAAAACCTATGGGAGAGATCAACACAAAAATTAACTTTTGAGAGATGATTGAGGCAGTGTCTCCTGCATTATTACAGGACTGTCTGAGGAACACTGCTCTACAGAACTTACATATTGAGATTGCCTGAGTGGTTTCCACTTACCTGTCTTCCTTCCATAGCTCCTCGCATTTCCTTGAAAGTTGAGCTAAATTCTCCAATGAAGTCATGCTTTCCATTGGAATCCCAGTCCCAAACTATGCACTGGGAAAACAAATAGCAAAAGAACAAAAAAAGCACATTTTTCTTAGATGGAAAAGAGGTTTTATTGAGAAATACTACAGAAGAAATTATGATATACACCGGGTGAAGTGTTTTATCTATAGGGAAATCACAAGACATATTAAAACCATATTCTTGTCCTGATCAAAATAAAATGACAAGTGGAATCTCAACACAGATTGCTGTTGACAGTTATGTGTTATGGAGCTGGCCTAATGACAGCAAGTTCACATATTTCAGAAAGAAAGGATTTCTTGTCTAGATCTTTTTGCTAGGTGTAAAAATACAGGATTATGTATATTTACATGTTCATTGTCAAATGGTGTCCTGACTTACCTCACTGATGTACTTTACAAATATAAATTATTATAAAAAACCCTACTTGCTTTGGGCAAACAGTACTGTTCTCATTTTTACAGTCAGTGAAGGTGAGACAAGAGTTACAGAGATCATTTTCTGAAATGGCTTTGAAATTATACACATTAGTGTTTGGTGCCCATATCTTGGCTGTTTTCCAGGGTTGCTCAACAGTGACTATACAAACCAAATATCACTGATACTCTCTCCTAAATTCATGCATAAAGATGAATATCTCAATGAGTTTGAGCTATGAGAATTTTATTTTACAGATTTTGCTAAATACAATTAACCTAGCAAAGACTGAAGCAAATAGCAATAACTACAGGCTTTGTTAAATTATAATTTTAAAACTGGTCCAAAGACAACAAAGGGGCTCAGAACAAAATCCCAAATTCAGCCTCATGTTCTCTCTAGATAAAGGTCACATAAGTTGCCTGAGTCAGGAGGCCTTTACTGAAAACGTCCTACTACAAAATCTCTCTCTCTTTTTTTTCTTTTTTTTTTAACAGAAATGCCTCAAAGCATTAGGAGTCACATAAGGAGTGCACTGACATCTAGCTACCAGATAGCTTTGAGGGTAACTTTGACTCCCTTGTGTGGGCCTGAGTCTTACAGATCTATGAGTGGGTGTGGGGTGAGAACTTGACTGATAGGAGTAGTAGAGGAGCTCCCTGCTGAGAAAGGCAGGAAATAAACAAAATTGGAGGTGGTGGGGCAGCAACAGTGGATACCAGGCTTAAAACCAGTGGGTTTTACCAGACTGCTTTGTCTCAATGAGGCTCAGAGCTTTTGACCCAGCACTGGTGGTCAGACAACACAAGAGGAAGAGCAAGATTTGCTCCTCAGACTCCTCAAGCCATTTGAAGTTTGCTTGGTCCAAAGGGGCCAAGGAAGGAAACTGAAATCATCAGATCTCAACTGGATTTTGAGTTTTAAATATTTCAAAAAAAGGAATTTATTGAAACAGACTTCTCTGTTCACCACCTGTGCTTTCTAACTAGCCCAAATAATCCTGTCAAAGCTGGTATGTGAGCACTATGGCCAATCCCTTTTGAGTGTAGGGGGAAAGACTCTGTAGAAAGCTTGACACAGACAAAATGACTGAATTCTTTCAGTGAGAACAAATGGACAAAAAGTGTTTCAAGAGAAAGACCATCTAAAACAACCTAACATCCTCCCACCACAGCCATAAGTTAATAAATAGCCTCTTCCCCATAAATGTTTGTCCATGTGAAGTCATTGACTTGAAGTATAGGTTGGAAGGTATTTGATCTCCACATCTAAGGTGATTACCTGAACTTATTACTCTGTTATGTGCCCAGACACCTTACTTGTATTGGTAGAAGTAAATAAGGTGGTGATTTCACTAAACTCACACCCACCATCCACGTTATTATTTAGGTTCCTTCTGTTTTGTAATGACTCTAGCTTTCCTTTGAACTTTCAACACTGTTCCATTTAGCCCCGGGAAGAGATTTCATTCCACACAAAGGGAAATGTTCTGATCCATACAGAAAGTGTGTAGTTGAGGTACAAAGGACTGTCTTAAGGAAAGAGTACCAGCATAACTCTTACTTCTGCAGACATTAATCAGTTGAAACAATTCATGGGTCAGGCAAAGACCTGGCTCTTGAGTCCTCTGTTACTTTTCCATCCTGCCACCTGCAATTTTACTTGCTTTTTTCTTTATGGAGGGATCCCACACTAAAGAAAGCCTCTGGATTGAAATGTGAAAACATTTTGCTCTAAGACTTGGAGGTACTTTTCAGCAGCTTTGACACTGAAGGGGTGGGTGGAGGGTAGAGGGAAAACAGGGGCAGCTCTCATGCATGTTTACTTATAGGCTAAATTTTACAGAAGAGTAATAAAATAAGAGTAGGTTTCTGGTTCTGATAGTGGTAATCCTTCCTGGAAAAAAACTAGATAGTAGTTTCAATGCTAACAGCCCTGGAGTATTCTTTATGATGAAATCTTCACTAATAATCAATCTATGCTTATTATCAACTGCAATTTTTAGATGAGCTGGTAACAACAAAAAAAAAATCCAAGAAAAAGTAATTTGATTTATGAAAAAATCCCTGAAACTGGTTTTTTTTCACAGAGGTTGAAGCAGCTGCATTTTATTTTTCCGTGAAATTTCTTGCTAATATAAATTGGTCATCTTTTATTGAAATTACTTATAAATATTTCATGGAAAAATGGATTTCACAGATGAAGCATGATTTAAAATGACTTTTTTTTCTGTAACGGTTGCAAAAATTATTTAAGACCTAAAAGTAATACTATGTAAAAAGATTTGTCAAAATGTCATAGTAAAATTGTTATAAATTTGCAAAAATTATAGTTTTAGTAATGCTTGCAACTTTTGAAAAAACGTTTTTGAAAAAATGACTATTTCACAAACAAAAAAAAAGAGAACCCTTATTATGAAATTTTCCAACCAGATTTACTTTTCAGGTTTGGTCTTTAAACTCAACTGGAGCATAAATACAAGAGCAGACCCAAGGTTATCAGAGACCTCCAGGAAAAGGTACTTTGAAAAATTTGTATTAGAGACCCAACTCTTACAAAGAGGGAAAAGCTCTGAGTGCTCATTTGTGGTTAGAATTTTAAGTGGAGATGAGCAAAGTTAAATTACATATAAAATGTCCACTCAACAGGGATCCAACTGCTTTCTCTTTCAAGCTAGAGGTTTTCTAACTTTAGTTTTCAGAAAGACAGATGGTACTCTAATCTTCATATTGGCTTCATGGAAAAGGCTAACAATTACAGTATTATCTTAGTGCCATTTGCTCAATTACAGCTAAGGGAGAAAAGGGATTTCTGCAAGTACATCCATTTTGACTTCTTTTTTTCCCCCAGAGTTTCACATCTGGCCATAGAAATTAATTATTACTGTCTGAAAAACATTAGGTACAGAGTAATGATTCTGCTTTTCAAAGGTATATGAAAAGTATTTCTAAAACATAAATACTGGGGTCCAGACATTTTTATAAAACCACACTCAGACAGACAAAATAAGCAGGGAAGGATCTTTGCAAATAATCCAGAACCAGATAAAGACCAGAGGTGATAACCAAAGTATTATTTCTCTATTAAATACTTTAAAGTGGTTTTGTTTGGTTGGTTGGGTATTTTTTGTTTTTTTTTTTTTTGGAAGGCCCCATTTCCTCTTTAAATCAAATCCTCCATAATGTAAACCATCCTTTATCTTTAAGCAAACCTTAATGTGTTCTTTAGGTCTGTACTCTTAGAGGTTGCTTAAGCAGATGAGTAACAGTATACCTACACTCTATTAAAAGTCTCATTAATTTAAGGAGGCTTTCCATACATTTAATTTTAAATACTGGTAAATCAGTGTTCAGATAACTGGTGAAAGAATTCAGACTCCTACTTATTGGTTACGAGCTCAAATACAGGCAATAAAAACTGCTACTAATGCTGCATGGTGATGGAATAGCACTGACTGGAACGATGAAGAATATCTTTCACCCCTGCATGATTCTACCTTCCTCCCCACAATTCCTGCTGACTGCAGGGAGAGGGAGTACTCCTTCAGGCCCTCTCAAGGAAAGGCGCTGTGCCTGACAGAGCTAACCAGCAGATCCAGTTAAGATGTCATCAGAGGATCACTTCTGAGTATCCACATCATCATTCCTTCAGCTTTTCTTGTAAATACCACAAAATGAAAGATTTCCTTCCTGGCTGAAAGCAAGCCTTTCACTGGAAAAAGGAGGGAGAAAGGTCCAGTTTAAAAACAAAAAGATATTTCAGGTGGATGCAGGTGGAAATTTTCCTGATTTTATTTCAGTTTTTTCACCAAGATTAGATTTTGCCAGTACTCTCACTACAAAGGGCATCCAAGAAAAATTGCACAGGCACTAGAGCTATAACAGCACAGGCTTCTCTGGCTGATTTTCGTAGTGCTTCCCAGAAGATGACAGATAGATTAATCTTGCTACCTATGAGTGAGCAAAAAAACTCACTTGCGCAATTTCTGATTTTAGTTATATTTCACAAAAATATAACCTGAACCACACTCCAGTTCCAGCCAATCCTGATTGATCATCTGTTCAGTGATGTGATGATGCCTAGATAAGAAATAAACCAATTTCTCTATCCAGTATCTCTCATGGACTGAGGCAGTTTTCCTGTTTGATAATTCAACAGCAAAAAAAGTATTGCTACCTATCATATGATCCAAACTCAACTATAATTTTTCCAAATTTTTATTTCTGTGAGAAATTAAAAGACATAGAGACTAGAAATTGGTGTGCCAAGCCTCAATATAAGAGCCAGCAAAATTCTAGCATAATTGTCATAAAATAATTTTTCCCGTAGTCACCATCCTATCTAGCTTTAACCACCAAGAGAACTAAGTAATATAAAAGACTGGTTACTTTAAGTATGCATTTTTGTGTGAGTGTCTGCAGGTTATTTTTCCTATATACCTTCAGAGAAATACTTGAAGTGATTTGTCCCCATTAGGTTTTCACGATGAGAGAACTATTCTGTGCAGCACCTTTGGGCATAGGTAATAGCGAAACTTGGAACTTAACATTGCAATTTATAAGTGTCCTAGTTAGGACAGCTGAAGACCAGTTCATCATGGTGGGTGTAAC